TATAACAGTAATGTAACAGTAATTTAACAGTTATGTAACAGTAATATAACAACTTAATATAACAGTAATATAACAGTAATATAACAGTAATATAACAGTAATATAACAGTAATATAACAGTAATATAATAGTAATATAACAGTAATATAGCAGTAATATAACAGTAATATAACAGTAATATAACAACTTAATATAACAGTAATATAACAGTAATGTAACAGTAATATAACAGTAATATAACCGTAATATAACAGTAATACAACAGTAATATAACAACTTAATATAACAGTAATATAACAACTTAATATAACAGTAATATAACAGTAATATAACAGTAATATAACAGTAATATAACAGTAATATAACAGTAATATAACAACTTAATATATAACAGTAATATAACAGTAATGTAACAGTAATGTAACAGTAATGTAACAGTAATATAACAGTAATATAACAGTAATGTAACAGTAATATAACAGTAATATAACAGTAATATAACAGTAATATAACAGTAATATAACAGTAATATAACAGTAATATAACAGTAATATAACAGTAATATAACAGTAATATAACAGTAATATAACAGTAATATAACAGTAATATAACAGTAATATAACAGTAATATAACAGTAATATAACAGTAATATAACAGTAATATAACAGTAATATAACAGTAATATAACAACTTAATATAACAGTAATATAACAGTAATATAACAGTAATATAACAGTAATATAACAGTAATATAACAGTAATATAACAGTAATATAACAGTAATATAACAGTAATATAACAGTAATATAACAGTAATATAACAGTAATATAACAGTAATATAACAGTAATATAACAGTAATATAACAGTAATGTAACAGTAATATAACAGTAATATAACCGTAATATAACAGTAATATAACAGTAATATAACAGTAATATAACAGTAATATAACAGTAATATAACAGTAATGTTAACAGTAATATAACTGTAATATAACAGTAATATAACAGTAATATAACTGTAATATAACAGTAATATAACAGTAATATAACAGTAATATAACAGTAATATAACAGTAATATAACAGTAATGTTAACAGTAATATAACTGTAATATAACAGTAATATAACAGTAATATAACAGTAATATAACAGTAATATAACAACTTAATATAACAGTAATATAACAGTAATATAACAGTAATATAACAGTAATATAACAGTAATATAACAGTAATGTTAACAGTAATATAACTGTAATATAACAGTAATATAACAGTAATATAACTGTAATATAACAGTAATATAACAGTAATATAACAGTAATATAACAGTAATATAACAGTAATATAACAGTAATGTTAACAGTAATATAACTGTAATATAACAGTAATATAACAGTAATATAACAGTAATATAACAGTAATATAACAGTAATATAACAACTTAATATAACAGTAATATAACAGTAATATAACAGTAATATAACAACTTAATATAACCGTAATATAACAGTAATATAACAGTAATATAACAGTAATATAACAACTTAATATAACAGTAATATAACAGTAATATAACAGTAATATAACAGTAATATAACAGTAATATAACAGTAATGTTAACAGTAATATAACTGTAATATAACAGTAATATAACAGTAATATAACAGTAATATAACAGTAATATAACAACTTAATATAACAGTAATATAACAGTAATATAACAGTAATGTAACAGTAATGTAACAGTAATGTAACAGTAATAGAGTAATATATAACCGTTATATAACAGTAATATAACAGTAATATAACAGTAATATAACAGTAATATAACAGTAATATAACAACTTAATATAACAGTAATATAACAGTAATATAACAGTAATATAACAGTAATATAACAGTAATATAACAGTAATATAACAGTAATATAACAGTAATGTTAACAGTAATATAACTGTAATATAACAGTAATATAACAGTAATATAACAGTAATATAACAGTAATATAACAACTTAATATAACAGTAATATAACAGTAATATAACAGTAATGTAACAGTAATGTAACAGTAATGTAACAGTAATATAACAGTAATAGAGTAATATATAACAGTAATATAACAGTAATATAACAGTAATATAACAGTAATATAACAGTAATGTAACAGTAATATAACTGTAATATAACAGTAATATAACAGTAATATAACAGTAATATAACAGTAATATAACAGTAATATAACAGTAATATAACAGTAATGTAACAGTAATATAACTGTAATATAACAGTAATATAACAGTAATATAACAGTAATATAACAGTAATATAACAGTAATATAACAGTAATATAACAGTAATATAACAGTAATGTAACAGTAATATAACAGTAATATAACAGTAATATAACAGTAATATAACAGTAATGTAACAGTAATATAACTGTAATATAACAGTAATATAACAGTAATATAACAGTAATATAACAGTAATATAACAGTAATGTAACAGTAATATAACAGTAATATAACAGTAATATAACAGTAATATAACAGTAATATAACAGTAATATAACAGTAATATAACAGTAATATAACAGTAATATAACAGTAATATAACAGTAATATAACAGTAATATAACAGTAATATAACAGTAATATAACAGTAATATAACAGTAATATAACAGTAATATAACAGTAATATAACAGTAATATAACAGTAATATAACAGTAATGTAACAGTAATATAACTGTAATATAACAGTAATATAACAGTAATGTAACAGTAATATAACAGTAATATAACAGTAATGTAACAGTAATATAACAGTAATATAACAGTAATATAACAGTAATATAACAGTAATATAACAGTAATATAACAGTAATATAACAGTAATATAACAGTAATATAACAGTAATGTAACAGTAATATAACTGTAATATAACAGTAATATAACAGTAATATAACAGTAATATAACAGTAATATAACAGTAATGTAACAGTAATATAACAGTAATATAACAGTAATATAACAGTAATATAACAGTAATATAACAGTAATATAACAGTAATATAACAGTAATATAACAGTAATATAACAGTAATATAACAGTAATATAACAGTAATATAACAGTAATATAACAGTAATATAACAGTAATATAACAGTAATATAACAGTAATATAACAGTAATATAACAGTAATATAACAGTAATATAACAGTAATATAACAGTAATATAACAGTAATATAACAGTAATATAACAGTAATGTAACAGTAATATAACAGTAATATAACAGTAATATAACAGTAATATAACAGTAATATAACAGTAATATAACAGTAATATAACAGTAATATAACAGTAATATAACAGTAATATAACAGTAATATAACAGTAATATAACAGTAATGTAACAGTAATGTAACAGTAATATAACAGTAATATAACAGTAATATAACAGTAATATAACAGTAATATAACAGTAATATAACAGTAATATAACAGTAATATAACAGTAATATAACAGTAATATAACAGTAATGTAACAGTAATATAACTGTAATATAACAGTAATATAACAGTAATATAACAGTAATGTAACAGTAATATAACAGTAATGTAACAGTAATATAACTGTAATATAACAGTAATATAACAGTAATATAACAGTAATATAACAGTAATATTACAGTAATGTAACAGTAATATAACAGTAATATAACAGTAATATAACAGTAATATAACAGTAATATAACAGTAATATAACAGTAATATAACAGTAATATAACAGTAATATAACAGTAATATAACAGTAATATAACAGTAATATAACAGTAATATAACAGTAATATAACAGTAATATAACAGTAATATAACAGTAATATAACAGTAATATAACAGTAATATAACAGTAATATAACAGTAATATAACAGTAATATAACAGTAATATAACAGTAATATAACAGTAATATAACAGTAATATAACAGTAATATAACAGTAATATAACAGTAATATAACAGTAATATAACAGTAATATAACAGTAATATAACAGTAATATAACAGTAATATAACAGTAATATAACAGTAATATAACAGTAATATAACTGTAATATAACAGTAATATAACAGTAATATAACAGTAATATAACAGTAATGTAACAGTAATATAACAGTAATGTAACAGTAATATAACTGTAATATAACAGTAATATAACAGTAATATAACAGTAATATTACAGTAATGTAACAGTAATATAACAGTAATATAACAGTAATATAACAGTAATATAACAGTAATATAACAGTAATATAACAGTAATATAACAGTAATATAACAGTAATATAACAGTAATATAACAGTAATATAACAGTAATATAACAGTAATATAACAGTAATATAACAGTAATATAACAGTAATATAACAGTAATATAACAGTAATATAACAGTAATATAACAGTAATATAACAGTAATATAACAGTAATATAACAGTAATATAACAGTAATATAACAGTAATATAACAGTAATATAACAGTAATATAACAGTAATATAACAGTAATATAACAGTAATATATAATTAATATATTTGGGACTGATTTTTGTCACCTCTAAACAGGAAGGGATGATCTCCTCCTATTGTGACAGACTAATAGCTTACTTATACTAAACTTAATGATCTGTGATTAGCATGTCAATGTGGTGAACAATGTAATTAAGCTGTGCTATTTTAACTTTCCTATTTAACAAGATCCCTTAAGTGTTATACTCGGCTTTATAGAAGCAATGTCACTTGCTACCAAGCAATTGTGCACTGTCACTTGCTACCAAGCAATTGTGCACTGTCACTTGCTATTCTGAGATATCATCAAGCAATTGTGTACGGTTAAATATGTGATTAATCAAATAATAAAGCAACAAATTAGTTGATTAATTAGGAAATTAATTAATTATTTAATAAATTGGTTAATGACGATGTTGTTTCAGCTGATGTTACCCAAGCTACCAAGATACAAAGACCTCACTCGGTTGATATCTACGCATTTGGTATTTTGTGTTTGGAGATTCTCTGCGATCTCAGTAAGTAGATTATCTTCTACAAGAAAACAGTAGTCAAATTTTTTATAATTAGTTTTCAGATCTACCCATAACACATAAATCACTATATTTTACTTTTAAATCTCCCATAGTTACCTCTACATATGTGTTGTTAGGGTAGTATGTGTTGTTAGGGTAGTATGTGTTGTTAGGGTAGTATGTGTTGTTAGGGTAGTATGTGTTGTTAGGGTAGTATGTGTTGTTAGGGTAGTAGGATCATATCTCCTGCTCAGTGTGTCAATCTTCATTCGTGTCATTAGCCTCCATACATTAACCCCCCCCCCCCCCCCCCCCCCCCCTCTCTCTCTCTCTCTCTCTCCCCCAACTTGACTAAGTCTTATCACTACAATCCCGTGTACAATACACTTACCATATTATTATACTAGCAAGTCTTTAGCCTACCCTAAATGAAGAACTAGCGATCTGATTAACATTGCGCTACCTTACTAACAAGTATATAGCTAGCGTGTAACTACTGTTACCTTGCTAGGGGCTTGTATACACTCTGATTTATACTTCTAACGAGACTACTATATAGTTGTACAGGAGCATGTATAGGTGCAGTACTATACACTAAATTTACTGAATTCACCCTTGTCACATTCTTCATCATCATTACTTCTATCTTTCTATAGTCAAAATCTCCTGATCGCACCGCTTGGTAAATGAATTCATCAGTTAATTAGCTAATCAGCATATTGCCCGCCAGGTGAGCACAAGATAACCCAAGAGTCGCCAGTAACCACACTAGACGATGTAAAGCAAGCCATAGCTAGTCTTGAGCCACACCAGCAAGACTTGATAAACCTGTGTATGGAATATGATGGCAGTAAGAGACCTGACGCTGCCTACCTTCTCAAACTTAATATCTTACACGAGGTGACCTATTCTCACCTCATATTTAGAGTTTTTCAACTTTTATTTTTAAGTTTCTGGTGAATATGCATTTTTATGGGAGGATTTTGCGACTTGATGTTCTTATTTTATCAAAATGAAACTTCAGATACCAGATTTGCGGATAATGTGTGTGAACATGTTGCTACACGCTGATGATGTAAACTACAGAGATGTGGAAGAGAGTGCTGGTCGTCAACAACACTTTTCAGTCGACAACAAACCTTGCTCGGCATTCACTCCTCAACATCTAGATATTGAGAAAATAGAGCGAGAGATAAAGTAAGAATAATGTGTTTTATTGATTTACTTTGAATTATTTGGTAAAATATCAGTTGGTCCCGAAATCATAAGAGAACTGATTGCTAAGTAATAACTCCTGAATCGTACTAAAATCTAGATTTGTTGCTGCGCCCTAGATGTATGCAAGAGCTGCAAAATCAGTTACGTAAAGCTAAAATTAGAAAGTTTTGGAATCGTGCTGCAGTAAGACGCGATGTCATTTTGTGTGGTTACGTACGCGCTGAAAACGCAATTAATATCATGCACGCGCGCGTGGTTCATTGTGTAGCGCGCGCTGCACTGATCTGCATCATTGCAGCTATAATGCTATAATGCTATAACATAAGTATGATTCAGAAGACGTTTCCCTGAAATGTGTATGCGATTTTGTATGCGATTTGCGCGCCGCACGTACGTTAAAATAATTATATTTGTAGAATTTATGACGGTAACCCTTCAAAAGTCAAAATAAACTGCTCGTATATTTATAGACACTATGATATGAATAACTAAATAACACCTTGAACCCAACTTGGAACCACATCCAAGGGCCGCACCGACCCCAGAAAAGCTATAATTCAAGTCAAAAATCTTTACTCGGCCCTGTATGTGATTTGTGTTCCGGGGTAGGTGACAGATGTTTTAGTGGTTGAATAGCTAGTACCTATCCCAAACCATCATAAAAACAAAGTTTTGACATCTCAAACCACTCAGGCCACTCCTAGGAGCAACGCCCATCCCAAAATAGCTGAAATCCAGGTCAAATCCCATACAAATTCAGACTGAGAATCTTTACCCCCGTATGCGATTTATGTTCCGGGGTAGGTGGCCCAGGGGTAAAGATTTTAAAGTCTGGATTTTAGCTGGATTTCGGTAATTTTGGGATGGGCGTTGCCCCTGGGAGTGGTTTGAGAGGTCGAAACTTCGTTTTTATGATGGTTTGGGATAGGCAGTACCCATTTTTATACTAAAACATGGGCCACCTACCCCGGAACATAAATCGCATACGGGGGTAAAGATTTTTAATCTTGATTTGACCTGGATTTCAGCTATTTTGGGATGGGCGTGGCCCCTGGGAGTGGCCTGAGTGGGTTGCGAGGTCGAAACTTGGTTTTTATGATGGTTTGGGATAGGCAGTACCCATTTTTATACTAAAACATGGGCCACCTACCCCGGAACATAAATCGCATACGGGGGTAAAGATTTTTAATCTTGATTTGACCTGGATTTCAGCTATTTTGGGATGGGCGTGGCCCCTGGGAGTGGCCTGAGTGGGTTGAGAGGTGGAAACTTGGTTTTTATGATGGTTTGGGATAGGCAGTACCCATTTTTATACTAAAACATGGGCCACCTACCCCGGAACATAAATCGCATACGGGGGTAAAGATTTTCAATCTTGATTTTACCAGGATTTCAGCTATTTTGGGATGGGCGTGGCCCCTGGGAGTGGCCTGAGTGAGTTGGGAGGTCGAAACTTGATTTTTATGATGGTTTGGGACAGGTACTAACTATTTAAAACCCTAAACCTGTTCCAAATACCTCGGAACACAAATCGCATACAGGGGTGAAATCGCATACAAATCGCATACACAAATCAAGGAAACGTGCTCTCTAATGATTAGATAAGCGCATACAGGGCACAGGCAGCAGGACGACCATAAAGTTATAAGCTTCCATCGATGGTATTGCCCTTCTGTATCCTTCTGGCTTCTACAGATGAGTGAATTTGTTATCAGTCATTTATTTCTCATTTCAGGAACGGGTTTCACTCTATTCCCGAAGTTGGTGTAATCGGGAAAATCAGCCCCATTCGTTTCAAGACTTTGTCTCCTGATACCAAGTAAGTTTTCTGAACACCGCTCAATTTGTTGTATATTTGGAAACTTAAACATGTGATTTTTTGTAAAAATTTTTATTCAGGCGAAAAATGATTTTCGGTTCCTGAAATCATTGCAAAATATGGGTATGTGGTAACATTGAGCTATGAAGGGATTAGAGATTTTTGATTGAGTGCAAATTGTGCAGAATGGCCATGTTTATATACACTTATGAAGCACATGCACCTAAAAATGCTTACTTTTGAGTTATTGGAGGAAGGAAATTGTGCACAAAATAGAGCAAAATTGGTTATATCAGCCTTTTTTGCCTCCCGTTTCTTATGTTAATTACTCGCATGCCCCCCCCCCCCCATATGCGGCTTTCGTTTAAGCTATTTTGAAGTCTCTACGACCTTTAGAAAGCAAGGGAGTCGTTACGTTATTGGGTCAATATGGGCGTGGCCCTCCTGGGTTTTTGCAAGGTAAAAAACATGTCTACAACCGAAAATCGTTGTATTCATACCTTTGGGAAGTTCTGTGCAAAGTTTCGTGGGTATCTGAAATTTGCAGGCACATGTCCATAAATGACTGGACTAGAACTCTTCACAGTCAGGACATAATGTAAGCATTATTAGCATGAATAGTAAGGGGAAAGTGGCATTCCGTTGGATTCGAATGTCACACTAGGATTTCTCAACGGCATATGGTTGTTAGGACCCTACGACATAAATTAGATTGTTTGCCAATTTTGTATCTCAACGGAAACACACTTTTTACCACTTTTTACCACCTTTGTACCACCTTTTGGTTTGCCAAATATCTTTTGTTTGTGAACATCATAGAAGGCTGCAAATTAACCTGAATGTTTATCTTATCAAGGAGTAAATCTTTTGTTTCAAAATGTTTTTACATCGGACAATCAGCTAAATGGATAATTACCAATTAGTTAATCACCCAAAAAAAAGTGAAAAAATTTTTTATTGGCTTTAAATGATTTAAATCGTTTGAAAACAGAGAAATGTAGTTTTTAGAAAAAACTTCAAAAATTTTTCATTTAAATTTTTTTTTCGAGAATTGAAAAAAAAGTTGAATTTGAAAATATTTTTTTCCGCCAAAAGTGATCGAATTGCATGAAACGTGGTTATAAATGCCTTGCGAAAAAATTCAGAAGATTTTTAGATTGAGGAATACTAAAATCTCAATATTGAAGTTGGGTTCAGTAATCTCGACTATTTTAGTAATTAGGGAATAGCTTAGCGGAAAGGGGCTGACCTGAAAAAGGTTAACCACACAATATTAGAGTTTCGTAACTAATTAAAATACAGGCTTTATCACAATTCCACTAAGAAGAAACAGCACAAAAGGACCATTTAAGATCGAACGTCTTTTACCTCTGTACTATCATTTATTGATTTCAATGATCAAAACCTCTCGTCAATCTTGCCAATCTTTACCGGGTAATCTGAATGTACGGACCCTGATTTACCCTCGTTATAATTAGACCAGTTCTGTGCAAGAAATGCGATTTCTCACAGGGGTTTTTTAAACTGGGCACTTTTTGTCACTCTCGAACTCGCAAGAGGCGGGTATATAGGGTGGGGGGGGGGGGGGTATAGGAAGCGAGTGTAATATACCTTGCTTCTGAAGTGTCGTAGTGACTCAAAATAGGCTTAAAGATAGCGCATTTGCATTGTTTATATAAGAGTTATTGGATCAACACATTGCCTAAAATCCTTACTTTTCGAGAAATCGGCAAAAACCATTTTGGGCGTGGCGCTTGAGCCGTTTTACTAACTTTTGATAGGGATTGTGATTAGAGGCTTGGGATAGAGTGCAAAAGACCGCAATTGGATATTTATATATGACTTACGAAGAAACATTGCCTTTAAAGTGCTTATTTTACAGTTTTTGGCGAAAAACTGATTTTTCGGTTCCAGAAAATCATGCAAAAATATGGGATAGTGTACATTGAGTTATGGAAGGCCTTAGAGATTTTGTATGAGTGGCATTTTGTGCAGAATGCGCCATGTTTATATACAACTTATGAAGCTAACATGCACCCTAAAATGCTTACTTTTCGGGGAAGGGTTATTTGGAGGAAATGTGCACAAAATAGAGCCAAATTGGTTTAATCAGCCATTTTTGCCTCCCGTTATATGTTAATAAAACTGCCATGCATATGCGGCTTCGTTTAAGCCTATTTTGAAGTCTCTAACGACCTTCAGAAGCAAACGTGTTCAGTTACGTTAATTGGGTCATTTGGGCGTGGCCCTCCTGGGTTTTGCGCCCAAGGTAAAAAAAATGTCTCCAACCGAAATCGTTTATTCATTACTTTGGGAAGTTATGTGAAAGTTTCGTGGGTATTGAAAATTTGCAGGCACATGTCCATAAATGACTGGACTAAGAATCTTACACAGTCATTGACCATAATGTTGCATTAATTAGCATGAATAGTAAGGGGAAATGGATCTCGTTGGATTCGAATGTTCACAAGGATTCTCAACGGAATTTGGTAGTTAGGACACTACGAAATAATTAGACTTGGTTGCCAATTTGGTATCTCTCACGGAAAACACACTTTTCCACTTTTTACCACCTTTGTACCACCTTTCTGTTTGCCAAATATCTTTAGTTGTGAACTTCATAGAAAGGCTGCAAAATTACCTAGAATGTTTTACTGATCAAGGAGGTAAAATTTTGTATCTAAAGTTTTTACATCGACAATCAGCTAAATGGATAATTACCAATTAGTTTAATCACCAAAAAAAACGTGAAAATTTTGTATTGGCTTTAAATGATTTAAATCGTTTGAGACACGGAGAAATGTAGTTTTTAGAAAAAACTCGAAAATTTTCACTTAAATTTTTTTTCGGGGATTGAAAAAAAAGTTTTTGAAAATTTGAAAAATATTTTTTCCGCCAAAAGGGATTCGAATTGCTTTGAAACGTGGATAAAAAAAGACTCTGCAGAAATATTTCGAAGATTTTTAGATTGAGGAATACTAAAAATCATCCAATATGGGAAGTTGGAAGTTCAGTAAATCTCGACATATTTTAGTAATTAGGAATAGTCTTAGCGGAAGGGTGGACCTGGAAAAGGTTAACACAAATATTAGAGTTTCGTAACTAATTAAATACAAGCTTTATCAAATTCCACATAAAGAAAACTGCACAAAAGGACATTTAGA